GTACTTTTTTTTAAGGTTTATTTATTTATTTTAGAGAGTGAGACAGCACAAGTAGGAGGGGCAAAGGGGGAGGGAGGGAGAAAATCTCAAGCAGACTCTCCACTGAGCGTGGAGCCCGATGTGGGGCTCAATCCCAGGACCCTGAGATCATGACCTGAGCTGAAACCAAGAGTTGGACACCCATCCGACTATGCCACCCAGGTGCCCCTTGTTCATATAGTATAGCAGGATACAGGAAAGTAGGCATCTCTTACCTTCCAGAGCTCATGGTCTGGTGAGCCCTACACTCAAAAGGTGAATGGCCAGAAGGATAGTGTGAGGCAGGGTGTCTTGAGTGCCCACCTAGTGGCTACCCGAGTGCCCCGAGGCAGCCCCAGTACATTATATTGTTGACATAACAATGGCTGTGGGGGCACCTGTGTGGAGGAAGGCTTGGCTGGACATTGGGACTCCAGGTAAAAGGAGTGGAAAAAATACCTGCAAACAGCTTATGGCTGTATTTAGTCCCTTCTTTGCTCTTCTTTAATGCTTTTTGTTCCTTTTCTCTTAGCCCCTTTGAGGTTCAAGTTGGCCCTGAAGCAGGCATGCAGAAAGTTCGTGCATGGGGCCCTGGCCTCCACAGCGGGATTGTCGGGCGGTCGGCGGACTTCGTGGTAGAGTCCATTGGCTCTGAAGTGGGGTCTCTGGGTAGGTGGAAGCGGCTGGCCAACAGCTTCTGAGGGGCTGAGATGACATGAGGCTTGGTCCCAGTGTCAGACTGAGAGCTGGGGCCTCCTCCAAGCCTCACTCCCCTTGGCCTCCTGACCCCCCAAGTCCAACTCTTAATACTGCTGTGGGATTGCAATTTTCATTTTCCTCTTGCCTTTCAAGTTGCCCTCTGTCTCTTCTTCCATTCATTCATCCGCTAAACCTCACGGTAGAGGAGCTTCCTGTGGATGTTGTGCTTGAAACAGTGCTTGGAACATAGGAGGCACTTAGCAAATATTGTTGATTGATTCTTAGTTTAGATGAATTAATGAATTTTGCTGAAATTAGAAATTTGGAGAATAAATATTTTTCGGAGCAGAACAGTATATGTTAAATACACATCTGATGTATACAGGATTACTTCAGAACAGCAGTCAGCAAACCTGCTCTAAAAAGGGCCAGAGAGCAAATATTTTAGTCTTGTGGGCCATATTCTCCCTGCTGCAGCCGTGGTAGGCACGAAAACAGCCAGAGAAAGGACGTAAGTGAGGGAGTGTGGCTGTGTCCCAGCAAAGCCTTATTAAATACAGAAGTAGATAGTGAGTCAGTTTGGCCCGCTGGCCATAGTTTAATGACTATCTGTTTCAGGTAGTAAAAGTAAGCAGACTTGGATTTAGTATTTCCTTTAGTATTTCCTTCTAGAGAGAGAATCAGTGTTTTGGTATGATATTAAACCTTTGGCATATCCTTCTAGACTTTTTTCTTTACATGCCCACGTAAATATTCATCTTCCACAAAAAATATCTAGGGATGATCTTTCTGTCTTCCTGCCTCAGATAAATAGAGGCTGTGTCTTGATTTTCCATGGCTTCTTTGGAATTCCATTGCATGGATATGTCTACCGTTAGGCTCTCCGGTTATTTCCACGGTTTTCTTTAGAAACAGTGCTGGGTACATATACTTTGTACCTAACTGTTTACGCATATTCTTGATTATTTCGTTCAGACAAAAACCCAGAACCTGATTTGATGGGGCAAAGTGTGGGCATTGGTTTAAGGTTTTCGTTGACTTGCCTTGTTAGATGATGTTTAAAAAAACATAAAAATCCAGCCCTTCCACGTCTAGTGAAGACTCAATAGGCTTGGTTTTGTGGGAAAGGGACAGACACTGATTTCAGGCTTCTGGCTGATACTTGCTTTGAGGGAGTGAGCTGGTGGTAACATAGAGTAGATTCTTCCCACCATGCAACCAGGGGTCCCTCTCACCCTGTCCCCCAGGCTTTGCTATTGAAGGCCCCTCCCAGGCGAAGATTGAGTATGATGACCAGAATGATGGGTCATGTGATGTCAAGTACTGGCCCAAGGAACCTGGCGAATACGCTGTTCACATCATGTGTGATGACGAAGACATCAAGGACAGCCCATACATGGCCTTCATCCACCCAGCTGCGGGAGACTACAACCCGGATCTGGTGAGTCTGTCTGTCATGTTTCTGTGCTCTCTTCCTGGCTCCTGGCCCTCTCCGTGGTACCCAGAGAGTGAGCTCAAGCAGCATGTTGAGGGACGGCAGCAAGGGGCCATGTAGAGCTTAGGAAGGACACTGGTCTGACTTGGAACCCTGGTAGTACCGCTTAAGTACTTTTCTTTTCTTTTCTTTTTAAGATTTTATTTGTTTATTTGAGAGAGAGAATGAGAGACAGAGAGCATGAGAGGGGGAGGGAGATCGGTTTGAGAACTTGATTCCCCGCTGAGCAGGGAGCCCGATGCGGGACTCGATCCCGGGACTCCAGGATCATGACCTGAGCCGAAGGCAGTCGCTTAACCAACTGAGCCACCCAGGTGCCCCCACTTAGTACTTTTCTAATGCTGGGCAAGTCACTTAACCTCTCTGACTCTTGATTCTTTTTCAAGTGGGAATGATAGCAATGTCTGCTTTCCAGCGTTTCTGGGATGATTCAAGGAGCTAACGTGCATGAAGTGCCTAGCTCATGCAGGGGGCTGCGGAGGCTGCTCTTCATAAATGAAAGGTGTTCTTTTTCTCCCCAGCTCCCTTCTCTTAAATTGGAGCAGTGTTTCTAAGAGCTTCTGTCACACTCTTAGGAGGCCGATAAGCATCGAGTCTGAGGCAGGCTGGCTGCTAGGAGGAAGCCTCCACACTCCCATGTGTGCAGGCTGCCCTGGCCCACACAGGCGGCTCTTCGTAGGCTGGTGTCGGTCTGGGCCGGTTGCTATTCCTTGTTGGCCAACGGCTGGTCCTTTGTTCTCTCTGGAAGCTGTAAACCTTTGGAATGTCTGTGGTAAAGGTTCTGAGCCCCCTCCATGTGGGAACATTGAACCTGGGCATGGCTGGAGGTCCCTGCCCTGGTTACTAGTTGTCTATATCTGTTGGGAATAAGGCATGGAGCCCCAGGCTAGTTTGGGGCTTGGTTTTTGAGAGTTTTCTTCCTCCTGGGAGGTTAATGATACTGTGTTTAATTTCTGAGTTACAACCTACTTGAGCATTTTCCTTCCCAAACCATCCTGTTACATAGGTACTGTGAAACCAGACACAGGTGGTTTTGTTACCTTGTTCCCTGGTCACTGGTTGTTATAGAGGGGGTTTCGTTGGGGCATTGTACAAAAAGAGAATCATTATTCTTTGCCCCAGGTCCAAGCATACGGGCCAGGTTTGGAGAAATCTGGGTGCATTGTCAACAACCTGTGTGAGTTCACCGTGGATCCTAAGGATGCTGGAAAAGCTCCCTTAAAGATATTTGCTCAGGTAAGTTTCCAGGGGCCACCTGTGCAGGTAATTACCAGGAGACACGATCTGTCACTGTAATGGCAAGTTGCTCAGTTCATCTGATCCTCAGTTTATTCATCCACATATTGGGAATCATAAGAATATTTATTATTAAATGGGATTCTAATATGTAAAGCGGGGTGCTTTTCTCATTTTTATGATTTGTATTCTTTGGAAACAAGGCTTGATTTCAGATTTCCCTGTACATGTCCTTCAGTGGGGTTAAAGCTACCTAGGCCATGACAGGAGGTTTGTAAATAAGAATTTATTAAATATGTTTTTCTAATTTAATTGAATTTGGCCCAGGAATTTAAATGCAGGAATTAAAATTAAGAAGTACTTTTTTTTAAGGTTTATTTATTTATTTTAGTGAGAGAGAGAGAGAGAGAGAGAGAGAGTGTATGTGAGCACATACCTGAGTGAGGGGAAGGGCAGAGGGAGAGAGAATCTCAAGCAGACCCCCGCTGAACATGGAGCCTGATGCCAGGGCTTGATCTCTAGATCCTGAGATCATGACCTGAGCTGAAATCAAGAGTTGGACACTTAACCAACTGAGCCACCCAGGTGCTCCCAAATTAAGAAGTATTGAGTTGCCATGGCTTTCTATTAGAGTGATTTGCTCTTACGAAAAACAAATAAATATAGGCAGTGTTTTATCATCTGTGGTGATGGCATATCATAGTTCCATGTTTTGTTGGATGGGTGGTGACCTGATGGTCTTGGGAAGCCATGGCGGTGCTGTTTGATGAAGACCGTGTGAAGTCCAGTTTCTCTTCTTTGCCCCTGCTCTTTTGCAGGATGGGGAAGGCCAGCCCATTGACATCCAGATGAAGAGCCGGATGGACGGCACGTACGCCTGCTCGTATACCCCGGTTAAGGCCATCAAGCACACCATTGCTGTGGTCTGGGGAGGCGTGAACATCCCACGCAGCCCATACAGGGTAGGTTGTGAAGAATAATCCTGGCCATTGTATGAAAAAGCCAAGTCCTATGGCGGGTCTGGGCTCCATGCTAACTAACAATGTTTCACTGGGTCCAAGTGGAGGAAAACTTGGTTATAACTTTCTGCCGTGTTCTTTTTAGGTCAGTATCGGGCAGGGTAGCCATCCCCAGAAGGTCAAGGTGTTTGGGCCAGGCGTGGAGCGAAGTGGACTGAAGGCAAATGAGCCTACTCATTTCACAGTGGACTGTACTGAGGCTGGGGAAGGTGAGAGGGGGCTTCCCCCAGTGTGGTAATTGCTGCTCCTTGAGGAAGCATGTTCTTTTTGGAACATTCGAAGGACAGTGAACTTTGAGCCAGAAAGTAGTGCACCTGAATAGGGAATTGTTCATCTAATGAGCGTCTGTGGCAGTTCCTTGGTGATCTTTGCTAATCCTCCATTCCTCCTCCAAAGCCCTGACTTAGCACCATCCCTTTGTCAGGCTTGTTACTGGAAACTTCCCAATTGCTTTTTTGGGGTGTTAGCTGAGCTGAGCTAGAAGCGATTGCATGGGACATGCTGTTTCTTGTACCCTGGTGCGCTCATAAGCTGGTCTGTTCCAGGTGATGTCAGCGTTGGCATTAAATGTGATGCCCGTGTGTTAAGTGAGGATGAGGAAGACGTGGACTTTGACATTATTCACAACGCCAACGACACGTTTACGGTCAAATATGTGCCTCCTGCCGCCGGGCGATACACTATCAAAGTTCTCTTTGCATCTCAGGTGTGTGTTTGGACCTGGGTTCTTTCTGGCCACCTGTGTGCGTATTTCCTTTTTTTTTTTAAAGCAATAGGGCAGTGTCTTGAGAATTCTGCTCAGGTTTTCCTCTCTGGTTCCTGAAAACCATGAAGGGGGGAAAAAAAAATAAGCAAAAAGCACCCAGAACTAAATTATTGTCATTTTCTAACAAAAGTGAGGCACGGTGTATTCAGTGGTTATAGCAGGGCTCTGGCAGGAGACTGGTTTGTTATAAACGCTTGTAAAGTTTTTGATTGAAATGAACTTCTAGACGTGTTCTGCTTCGACCGCTTTGAAGTAATGGCTTTGGCCTTGACCCCTAAACTTTTACAGGGAGAGGAGCTTTGAACTTTCAAACTGAGCTCATATTTACTTATGATAGGTGAGGATAAGGCGAGTGGTACCTAAAACGGAACAGTGGAATCCTGGTGATTCAAATTAACCTTGCATAGGATAGGAATGTCAAGAGAGAAAGTTCTGTGCCTGAAGGTGTTGGTCTTGAATTGACTTCGTCCAGTTAACCTGTTCTGCCTTTATTCTGATAACCTGCACCATTGTGAAGAATTATAATCCTTGTATTTCTGATCAGCTCCTCCCATTCCCCAAACCTTAGCTCCAAGCTGTACCTGAGGACATGTCCTTTCGCCCAACCCTATATGTTATTGTCATTTGGGGTTTTATTCTTGGTAGGATTTTTTGCGTACTAAGTACTCAACTTTGGTGTGAAAGGCTCAGAGTTTTCAGAATCGTTTGTAGGAAACCTTCCTTCCGCTGTGCACTAAGCAGGTCAAAGCCTGTGATGGAGGGGTCCAGGCATTTGTAAGTGACCTTCGGTGGCCCCTACCTGAGGCTAGAGTACAAAGACTTGACCCGTGGGGATGGAAGTTTGCCCGCCGCCCGCCAGAGTCACAGAGGTCTCCCCCCTTGCGTTGGGCAGAAGGCTAAGCTCTGGCAGACGATTCAGGGGCTTTCCTACTGAGATAGTGTCTCCCCTACAGGAAATCCCTGCCAGTCCTTTCAGAGTGAAAGTTGACCCTTCCCATGATGCCAGCAAAGTGAAGGCAGAAGGCCCGGGGCTCAGCAAAGCAGGTAAGAGAGCACGCGGAAGAGGCCATCATGGAGGCCTTCTGCAGGCCAGTGGCCAGGGGCATGTTTGGTCCAGGGACCTTGAGGGCCTCGTCTCCACCCAGGGTGGGTGTTCTGTTGGGAGTCCCATTCAGCAGGGGCAGTGCTCCTGCCCGAGCTGTTGGCAGTGCTCCGGCCCCCATCGCCAACCGCCTTGCTAGGGCTGGTGCCGATGAACCTGTCAGACTGGTTGTTGAAGAGTGAAACCACGCCAGTCAGGCCTGTCTCCTCACTTCACGGTCTATCCTTCCAGGTGTGGAAAACGGGAAACCAACCCACTTCACGGTCTACACCAAAGGGGCTGGAAAAGCCCCGCTGAACGTACAGTTCAGTAGCGCCCTTCCTGGAGATGCCGTGAAGGACTTGGACATCATCGACAATTATGACTACTCCCACACCGTCAAATACACACCCACCCAGCAGGTAGGGTCCTTCCCATTGCCCCTTCCCCCTCAGTGCTGGGCTGGGCCCTTTGGACAGCAAGGCTCTGATCTGTGCTCTGTTGAGGTGCTCCTCTGTGGGTGAAGGGCTCTTCGTGCCTGTCATTTTGAGCCTCTCCAGGAGCACTGGCAAGAGGCCTGGCTGGTTCTGTGAGGCGGGCCTGAAGGTTTCCCTAAGAACAAGCAGGAAGCTAGAGCGGGAAGCTAGCCCGACTCTCTCCATCCCCGCCTCCCACCTCCATTTTGGCTTTCAGCAGAAACAGGGAGCTCTTGAAATTTGGAACCTAGTATCTTCCTCTTATTCCACACACTCTCCCATCCTTACCAGCTGCCCTTCATTCAGTCTTAATTACTCATAGGGGAGGAAGGGCGACGCCTTTGTGTTTTCTTGCTGGCCCTTTATGTAAGGTGGTAGAGTGGGTCTCTCTCAAAAGCCAGTTCAGCCTTTAGTCCCTCAGGCCCGAAATACTATCTAGGGCCCCAGATTGTCCTCTTACAAAATTCAGGAACACACACAGGATATTACGATCCAGGCCACTTTGCTCTGATTATTTTAGGCAAGAAGCACCTAAAAAATGACCTCTCTGCCTCTCTCTGTGAATTCTTGTTTAATTTGTTCAAAATTGGGTTTTGCTTCATGGCCATACCTCTGGGGTGTGAGGAACAGGTAACCCAGAAGAAAAGCCTGGATTTTACTATTTTTTTTTTTTTTCAAGATTTTATTTATTTGAGAGAGAGAGAGCGAGCAAGCACAAGGGAGGGGGTCAGAGGGAGAAGCAGGCTCACTGCTGAGCAGGGAAGCCTGATGCGGGACTTGATCCTGGAACTCCAGGATCATGACCTGAGCCGAAGGCAGTTGCTTAACTAACTGAGCCACTCAGGTGCCCTGGATTTTACTGTTTTTTATGCATAGCATTCTACACGGTCATTCGAACGTCTCAGATTTTTTCTTAATACACCCGACCCTTAGGGAACCTTATAGTGTAGGTGCTTTCAGGTCCTGAGGAAAATAGTCCCCCTTCTGTGAGGTGCTCTTTGTAGGAGAACAGGGGGGATGCTTTCTGTAGAAACACCACCCGAGAAGCATCCCTCCTGCCTGGCCCTCAGTGAGGCGCTGCCCAGAGTCTAGTGGGAAGGAATGAGGGGTACGGTGAGGATGAGGGGTGTGGTGCAGGTGTCCCCTTGCACTGGGGGCTACATGTCCTTGGAGATGGACTCTTTGGCGGTGGGAGGGGTTGTCTGGGGTGAGTCAGTACAGATGTGGTCTCTTACATCCAGACGTCCTCCTTCCTGTGGTTTTTGTTTTTACCTTAATGAGGGGTTCTTATTAGTGATGGTAAAAATACTTTTGTACGTAGAGTAACCTTTTATCATCAGGCTGCTCAGTGCTAAGTGGGTAATTATTTTCCTGCTGACCCTTCAGAAGGCTGGCGGGAGCCTCACCATTGGGAGCACTGGCTTGACATCATCCTTGTTGCCAATTCTCCACATTCCTTAGGAGAAGGTACCAGAAAGCTTGGCCACGCACACTGGTCAAGGTCACAAGGTCTTAGACTCTTCTAAAAACATCTTGCTTTGTCCTCTATCTATAAACCTTTTTGGGTTTTGGCTGAGCTTCTAGAAAGTAAGTTGCAGACATTAAGACGGAGTCAGGTTTTGGCCTGCACCCCCAGAAAGGGCTTCAGAACCTGTTGCCATTTGGGGCAGAGGTGGAGGCTAGAGAGGGAGGCTTCTTAACTTCAAAATCACACAAGGTCAAGTTCATCCATTTCTTGGAGAACAGCAGGTTTGTCGGCAGGCTCAGTGGCTGCTTGGGGCTTTGCTCAAATGCTGCCTGTCTTATGTCCAAGGAGCCTGGCAGAGTCCTGGTGTCAGTCCCTGCCTCCAGTGTGAGCGGTGCCTCTCTGGTCCTTCTTGTTTAGCATTTAGAACAAGATTTATGGTTTCAGTTTTTGGGCAAGTTGCAGTTCTGCATATTTTTCTATGGCAAAGAAAAAATTGAATTTCTTCTCTTGGATGATGAGTTCCCCAACAATGGGATATCATGTCCTATATATATCTTTCCATCCCTAGTCTTGAGCACAGGGCCTGATGCTGTAGGTTCTCCACATGGATTTATGGCTTAAAGGGTGAATACACAAAGTGGAGCTTCTGCTCACAAGCAGAGAACTTTGTAGGGACAGTGGGGCCAACACATCCTCATGCACCTTTGATCTCTCTTTTCTGAAGAGCGGCATACAGCTCAAGATTGGGTTAAATAAGCTTGCCTTTTGAGATGTGCCCTTGGATGTGGTTAAGAGGCCTGGGTCAAGGACGCCTGGGTGGCTTAGTCGTTGGATGTCTGCCTTCGGCTCAGGTCATGATCCCGGAGTCCTGAGATCGAGCCCTGCATCGGGCTCCCTGCTCGGTGGGAAGCCTGCTTCTCCCTCTCCCACTCCCCCTGCTTGTGTTCCCTCTCTGTGTCTCTCTCACTCTGTCAAATAAATAAATCTTAAAA